TCTACATAGATCAAGAGCAAATTTGTTATCTTTGTTTTGCTTGCTTTGACATTGTTAATGCTTGCTTTTTGATAGGTTTTGTTGGTTGCGTGATGAACATTTCAATGTGTTTTATGTTTAGAGTTGTGTTTTATTTAGAAACTTTATGTTTAATTGTACACAGGATCGAATTGAAGGAATGCACCTCATTAATTTTTGCTTGCACCCATGGATTACAGCACAAGTCAATTATTTTTCTTTCTACTATTTTGCTTCACACCTTAGCAACAAATCATATAATCGATTGTTAGTGTTGTATTTTTGAGATTCTTATGTTGTTAGTATACGAATCATAGATTTTGCCACTACTTGATACTATAGTTGTGAGACGAGTAGTTCATCCACCGCATAACAAATCAGCTTCAAATACAATTTTAAAAGTCGTAATAAAGACTTATAACTCTCTTTTTTTTCTTTTGTCCATTACAACTTTTGCCAAAATCATTTTGGTGAGGTTTTGAAAAAAAAAAAAAATCACACATTATCGAGTCATTGTCCAAAAAATTTATGATTGTATTATACTGAAAGGAAGAAAGATTCAAGTTAAAATAAAAGAGAAAAGATTACAGTATAATATATACAATTGAACAAGACAATAATCAATGGCTATCTTACTTTCTATAAATAGCTCTAGTCTACCCCAAAAATACTGTAGGAAAAACTAATAAAAAGGACAATTCTCCCCTCCTTTTCAACTAAATTTGTTCCAAGATCTTTGGCCTTGCAGCATGATCAAACTTCGAATCTTAAGTTCTTTATCCAGATGATTTTTGCTTTTGTCTCATTCTTGATTCATGAACTTGAACCTTGAATCTTGATCTTCAATCTAAGCTTCTAACCCTCATATCTTCCTCAGTATTCTTCCAAATGATAATACAAATCATTGACTTCATAATCTTCTAACTGATTTTGCAACCCGTATCATTTAAATTACGTAAAGTAGTATAACCAACATTCAAGATCCCACATAGCATGGTGGTATTCAAAAATTGGATGCAAAGTTTTCAGTATCAATAAGAAAATGTACATTTTTGTTCACATGAAACATTTGTTACAAAATAGATCTATTGTTTAAACTAAAACATTAATCATCTGACATATCATCCACTCTAATACATATACTCGAGTGGCTATCATCCATATAGTTCATGTAATTGTATTTTAATAATTAACCGACGTCAATATAAAATCTGAAAAATCATCTTACCTTCAACATGTCAAAATCTTGTTTTCAAACTTGTATGTTATCACAAAAAAATAATGTTATTCATAGTGATGACTGTCGGTAGTCACTATACATCAAATATGTATGACAATTTCTTATTTGATACATTAATGTGATAGTTTTTTATTATTTTATATATCAAATAACAAACTGTCATGTGTCACGTATGACGATTTTCAACAGTCATCACTACGAATAGTATTACTCTATCAAAAATAACAAGTCCAACTCAAATTTGTATTTCAAAGATAAAAAATTCGAGCAATAGAGTTCTTCATTCTCGTGTAAAGGTTTGATTCAATTATAGGTGGATATAGCAAAAGGCAAAATTTTAGGGATTTATCTGTAACTGTAAAATATGCTACAATTTAGAGTTTCTTATGGTAGGTTACCTTAAATACTCTCCTCAAGATATTAAAGTAGTTTTGATAATTATAAAAGGCAATAGTTTTTTTTTTGAATTGTTATCTAAAATGAGCATATTTATTAAAAAATTCCCTACATACATTGTTTCTTCTTTGGACAATTTTTTTTTCTTAGAAAAAAATAGTTTAGATTCATTTTCCTTCCAGTAAGTAATTATGATTGTTGATTGAACGTTTTTTCTAAGTTGTTTGTATTAGAACCAAGAAGTTACTAAAACCATCACCAGCTGTCTGCATTGGAGCAAGGATTGTTATTAGTTTACTACAACTTTCATCCGTTGGGTATGTAGTTAAAATTGTGCTGGAGTATGTAGCTTGAAAACCAAAATTAGGCAAGAAAACCTAGATTTCATAGAAAATATTAAGAAGAAACAATGTATAGTAAAACCTCTATAACATAATAATGTTGAGATCAATAAAAATTATTACGTTAGAGGAGTTATTAATTATTGATATACAAATACTTCATTAATTTATCAATAGATTATGTGAAGATCAATGTTACAAAAATGTGATGTTGTTGAGCACCTTCTAAATTATTTTAGTGAAAATAGTACGATGATGGTATAATTTATCAAGAGAGACACCGAATATGCTCAGCGGTGATGATCATGATTTAGATGGTACATGTGTGTTAAGTGACCGTGTCATAGAAAGAAGTCTTTTGAAGTGTGTAACGATAAAAATCGCATTTTACAAAATGTAGAAATTAGGATCAATAGCATAAAGCCCCTAGAAATGTTTTCATGTGCGATATACTCCCTACTTATTGGAAATCGCAAAAAATCCCCCAATTTGAAAACTTTTGTGTGAAAATCTTCTCTGTCACCAAGATTCGTCAGGTTTGTCGTAAAATCCTAGTAAAAAGGGGGGAAATGGATAAATTAGAAAGGTAAATGCGTAATTTCTCATTTCCTTCATTAATAACACACACTCAAATTCGAGCACGACGTGGACATGCTCAAGGCAGCACCCGTTTCATAGCCTTTCCATTAGAAAAGGGTATAATAGTAATCTTAAAATATTTTAATGCTTTAATTTTTTTGGGGAATATTGAATTATAAACTTCAGAGTCCATGACATTTGTGTTGAAGACATGTAAGCAAGTGTTCAATAACATTTGTTTTCACCAGAAACAATTCAAACAACTTGGTTGCCTGAAGTAAAATTGACGAGGCGTCGATCGCATCTCATGGTCAGATCTTAAGGATTTCTTCTAGAATCGTGCTTTTTCAAGAAGAATAAAATCTATTTTCTCTCCACATGAATATTTATAATGAAAAAATAAAACTTTAGGAACATTAAGATAACTAGGTTGCATATAGTTTATACTCGTTCGAGAGTATTGATGCAATATTCTCTCTAGAATTAAAATAGCCACGCTTTATGAAAGCAAATGCATAATATTCTTCTAAAAATATTGTTATACACAAAATTGTGATTTTCTAAGAGCAATAATTCAATATTCTTATAAATGTGGACATGTATATAATTATAAGAATAACAAAACAATATTCCTTTTTAGTATTTATGTAATATTTAGATATATTTCTTCATGAGCACAAACTTAGTCAACTACTAATATAAATCACAATATACTTTATCGAGAATATTAATATAATATATATTTTTAAAATTAATGTATAAAATTACTATTCTTCAATAAAAAGACAATATGTTTTCTATAAATATATTTATGTATATATGTAATGTGTATATATATATATATATATATATATATATATATATTTGTGTGTGTGTGTGTGTAAATTCTTTGAGAAAAATAATACATTACTCTCCTAGAAATTTGATTGGTGTAAAATTGTGACTTTTTAGAGCAACAAAATAAATTTCTTCAAAAATATTGATAAATAAAAATAACATTATATTTCTCACGAATATTGATTTTAAATCTATATTCTTCGAATAATAATAATACAATATTTTTTAAGAGTGTTAGAGTTGTGTTCTTTAGAAGCAAAGATACAATATATATCTCAAATATTTATTTTTATAGAGTTGTGATTTCTCAAAAATAACAAAACAACATTTTTCAATGATATTAATATTAAAAAAATTATATTTCTTCAGAAGCAACAGTTAAATTAAATGATTTAAAGAAAAACTTTATAAATCAGAGATATACATCAAATATGATAAAACACAATTAAGTTATTTGCAAAAATAAACCTAATTAAATATGATGTTTGACAGACCTATAAAACCTTGAGAAATTCACAAATCTTAAAAGTACTTCATATTTGGTATATTTAGGAAACTTCGAGTATTCAATTTACAAATATTGAATGAGAAATATGGTGATATTCTATACAATCTTATAAATAAGAAGATAATCATGCTAAATATCGTATTGTAAAACTAAATTAATATGAAATAAGAAGATAAGAAAAATAGAAAGTCAAATCTTATTTTGTGGGTATAATTAAGCTGACAGATATACTCGTCATTCATAAATATTATTTAACTTATATAACAATAACATATTTATTTTAAGAATATGAAAATTGAATATTTACATTAGGAAATTAAAGAATTTAATAACGGTACATAACATCAGTAATTACTAACTGTAAGGTGTCCAATAATTGTTTAGATAAGTAATATTGAATATTTTGATATAATTTATAAGATTATTCCATATGTACCGAATGGTATCCCTCTCTCACAATGCATGCGGGCCTTACATGAATTTAAAAATGTCGACATGTGATCCCCACCTCCGTTGTGACTAGTAAGTATAAGATTCAGTAAAAAAATTCGATACGTGTATCATTGTCCTAATTTATAATAGCATTACTTATAATCAACGATTGTAGTAGTTATCATATGCGAAATCTTACGTGACATAGCACTATTAATAGTTATTCATTTTTTAAAATTAAAAGTATATCACGTAGGATAACTCCAGCAATGCTAACTATAACATTATTGTATGATTTATCATTTTTATAGTTTTTTTATTCGAAATAAATACAGATAGAATGTAATATAATAAATTAAAAGAGGCTAAAAATAATTAAAATTGTCAAATTAGAAAACTGAATTTAAAAAAAAAAAGGTTTTTTATGAATGTCGCCAAAAATTTAATTGGTTTACTGCAAGAGAAATTAATTAATTTAAAATCGTTATAATTTGCGTCCACATGGACAGACTGTCCATGGTTCTTTGCTTCCAAGCGCAATTTCAAAGCTGTACCAAATTAAGGCAATAATTAATTACGATTTATCTAATTAAACCCTACTATATTTCCCTTCTTAAACCACATTTAAACGCCGTCGTATACAAATTCCGCTGTAATGAAACCTCATCAAATCAAAGAAAGGAAAAAATGGAACTTGTAATATGTGCACGGAGAGAGGAAAACTGGAAAAAAATATAAAGCGAAAGTGTTTTGAGTAGTGGAGTCCACAACTTTCAGTAAAGCAAAATCAAGAAAGTTGAGAAACCCCAGCAAATTTCTTGCATTCAAGATAAAAGAGCGGGTTGGACCATTGAATTCTAGGGTTTTTGGTTAATCAATGGCGAGTCCGAGTTCTCTTTCGGACAGATTAGCAGTGATTCCGAAGACTCCAGCAACTGTAAAATTGACAACCCCAAATTCTGTTTCGTCCCAGCTTTTGCGAACCCCAATTTCTGGTTCGTCTAAACTTCTGAAAACCCCTTTAAGCGATGAAGCCATATGGAAAAAACTCAAAGAAGCGGGCTTCGATGAAGAGTCCATCAAACGCAGAGACAAGGCTGCTCTCATCGCCTATATTGCTAAACTCGAAGCCGAGGTCTTTTTTCTCAATTATATACTTATTCGTTGAATGTTTCATTCTTTCTGTCTTTTTTTGATTTTGTAGTAATCTTGATTTTTATTTTTCTTTTTCGTGTAGATTTTATTTGGTTGCAAAGATTGATGATATAATTGATCTGATTTTCAGGAGCGTCTTTATTAATTTCATTAGTTTCTGGAAGAGTCTGAGCCTCTATTTCTCTAATTTTGTATTAATTTTTAGTTTCTCCGAATCGGTAAAGAACGGGGTTTTTATTCTTTTTTGGGTGAAAGATTTAAAAACAAGTTATTTTGCTCTTTTAGTATTGTTTGGGTGTTTTTATTTTTCAAAAGCTTTCTAAACTGTTCACGTTATTTATGTTTAACATGTTCGTTGTTGAGATTCTAATTTAGTTATAAGTTGGTGTTCTTGATTTGTAGCTATATGACCATCAGCATCACATGGGCCTTCTCATTCTGGAAAAGAAGGAGTGGGTTTCCAGTTACGAACAAGCTCAAACTGCTGCTGAATCTGCTGAGTTGAAGTTTAAGCGCGAACAGGCTGCTCATGCATCTGATTTGGCAGATGCCAGGAAGCGAGAAGATAGTCTGAAAAAGGCTGTTGGAATTGAGAAAGAATGTGTTAAAAATGTATTATTTTGAGAGTTTTTCCCTTTTATTTTTATGATGTGTATGTTCCTTGTCATAGTTTCTAATCTGGTGAACTTGTGCAGATTGAAAAGTCATTGCATGAGATGCGTGCAGAATTGGCTGAGGCAAAGGTTGCAGCAGAGACTAAACTGGCTGAGGCACGGAATATGATGGAGAATGCTCAGAAAAAGTTCATGGAGGCAGAGGAAAAACTTCATGCAGCAGAATCTTTGGAAGCCGAGGCTAGCCGGTTCCACCGAAATGCAGAAAGAAGGTTGCGAGAAGTTGAAGATAGGGAAGATGATTTAAGGAGGAGGATAATGTCATTCAAATCAGAGTATGTGCTTTATTTACTTATCTGATTTCAATAAATCCAATAAGTTTCATTGTCTTAGGTAATTTACTACATAATGGTTTTGGTACATTAATATCTCTCAACAGTCTACTGAAAAACGGAGGCTTGTAAGCTTTATATTCCTGCTTTGACACCATTGGTAATCTCGAGTTTTTGTGTTACTTTAAGCTTCTTGAATGCTTAGTCAATTTCAACAGAATATCTTACTAGTTTGGTTTAAATCTGTCTTGTCTTAGTTTTTTGAATGTATTTGTTTGTTTGATGAAGAATACTTTTATTATGTTCTGTATGCTTTTCAGGTGATTATTTCCTTTGTATTTTTTTCTCTTATAGTCTTCTTCTTGTCCATACATTATGATTTTTGACTGAAAATTATGACTGACATGTAAGTAATGTTTGCCATTGTTCTGCTAGATGTGATGATAAAGAGAAAGAGATCCAGATTGAGAGGCAATCTCTGATTGAAAGGCAAAAAATGCAGCAGCAATTGCAAGAAAGATTACATGATGGACAAGCTTTGCTAAATCAGAGGGAAGAATACATTTTTAATAGATCTCAAGAGTTAAAGAGGTTTGAGAAGGAGTTGGAGGACATAAAGCTCAGCTTGGAGAAAGAGAAAGAAGCCCTTAATGAGAAAAAGCAAACTCTTAATCTAGAAGCAATGTCTTTGTCAGCAAGAGAGGAGGTCAAAATAATGTTTCCCTCTCTCTCTCTCTTTTTTGACTGTCTATGCTGCTAAGTTAGATTGTCTTAGCGTCTTTTAATGTTTTCATTTTGTGGTTGTAGGCTGCCATCAGAAGAGAACACGACCTTCTCAAGAAAGAGGAAGAACTGCTCATTTCACAAGAAAAATTTGCGAGTAAAAAATATGTAAGTCAATTAGTTGAAGGGAAGCATCGATTTCGCCATTTTGTGTCCTCCCATTTTTTTTTTTTGACTGTCTATGCTGCTAAGTTAGATTGTCTTAGCGTCTTTTAATGTTTTCATTTTGTGGTTGTAGGCTGCCATCAGAAGAGAACACGACCTTCTCAAGAAAGAGGAAGAACTGCTCATTACACAAGAAAAATTTGCGAGTAAAAAATATGTAAGTCAATTAGTTGAAGGGAAGCATCGATTTCGCCATTTTGTGTCCTCCCATTCTTATCTCATTTCACCCTCTGATGCATATGTAGGATAATATTCATCAAGAAATGGCTAATCAAGAAGCTACATTGACAATGATGAAGTCTTCATTTGAGGTGGAATTGGAAGCAAAACGTAAATTGTTGGATGAAGAACTTGACACCAAGAGGCGGGGTTGGGAGTTGAGAGAACTAGATATCAGGCAGCGGGAGGATTACATTGCTGAAAGAGAGCGGGACTTGGAATTCGAGTCTAGACATTTTGTAGAAAGGGAGAAGGAGCTGGAAGAGAAGTTTTGTTCAATTGGGGAGAAAGAGAAGAGTCTTCTAGCAGCTGAAGAAGAGGTAGAATTGAAGAGGAACCTTTTAAAGCAAGAGAAAGAAGAGATAACGAGGATAAAGCTTGACCTACAAAAATCTTTGGATTTGTTGGAGGAAAAGAGAAGGCACATTAGTGATACAGAAGAGACAGTGGAGGCAATGAAGAATGAAACAAATGAGCTAATGGATCTTGAGTTGAGACTTAAGGAAGAGATTGATATGATCAGTGCGCAGAAGCAGGAACTTGAGGCTGAGGCAGATCAGTTGAAAGCAGAGAAGGCAAAGTTTGAAACAGAGTGGGAGCTGATTGATGTGAAAAGAGAAGAGTTACAAAAAGAGGCAGAGCATATTGCAGAGGAGAGGTTAACTGTTTCTAAGTTTCTGAAGGATGAACGTGATAGCTTGAACGCGGAGAAGGATTCATTCAGAAACCAATATAAACAGGATCTTGAGTCATTTTCCCGTGATCGAGAAGCATTCATGAGTGAACTTGAGCGTGAACGTACAGAGTGGTTCAGCAAGATTCAGAAAGAACGTACAGATTTCTTGCTAGATGTAGAGATGCAGAAAAAAGAGTTGGAGAATGGTATAGATAAGAGACGTGAAGAAATTGAGAATGACCTCAAAGATAGAGAGAAGGCATTTGAGGAAGACAAAAAGAAAGAACTTCAGTATATTACTTCTCTCAGGGAAACAGTGGGAAAGGAATTAGAACATGTTAACTCTGAAATTAAAAGACTTGATGCTGAGAGAAGAGAGATAAATTTTGATCGTGAAAGGAGAGACCAGGAATGGAAGGAGCTTAATAATTCAATTGAAGAACTTAAAGTACAAAGGGAGAAATTGGAGAAACAACGGGAATTATTGCGTGCTGATCGAGAGGAGATTCTTGTTCAAATTGAGAACTTGAAGAAATTGGAGGATCTAAAAGATGAATTAGATCGTATTATTGCACATGAGATACAACAATCTCGTTTGCAATCAGACAGACAGAAGCAAACAGAAAAGAAAGTTTTGAGGCTGCACAATGAAGTTATTGTAGGTGAAAATGGAAATGTTGGGCATAATGTTCCTCGTACAACAGAGTCATATCAGTCATCTTCACCTCTCGCTGCTCCTCTTTCGTGGCTCAAAAGGTGTGCTGATACACTGCTCGAGCAAAGACAAAGTAATAAAAAGAGGAGGCATGAAAAAGATTCAACAGCACAACCTGGACTGGAAGAGACCATTCCGTGGTACCCTTATTTGCTGAACTTAGTTCTTCACAGCTGTTAGTTAATTACTCATCGAGATACCTTTGGTTTTCTCTCATTTAACATACCTCTGCAATCTCAATTTTCCTTTTTATGCAGTTTGCCAGTGGAGAACTCAGATGCATCCAAGATCGAGCAATCTGTTACGTCTTTTAATCAGATTCCCGTCATTGCTGAGGAGACCACTGTGTATATAGATAAAATCATCAAAATCCGAGAATTAACTACAGCTGGTGTTGAGAGAGTTGCTGGCAGCAACAAGGTGGTTTCAAGTTTTTAAAACGATTCCTACTGTTTTAGTTTCCAGTGTTGAAATGAAACTATGCCCTATCATGATTCTGTTGCTGTCTTCCATAAAGAAATTGTGCTGATTATAATCTGTACCTCGTGGATATCCCGTATTTTACTATTTAGCAATTTTACCTGTTTGTATTTTTGTCTGATCATTAATATTGTTGTTTAAATTGTCTGAGTTGACAGTCTTCATGTAACAACGTATCTCACTTCTATAGCATGCCTTTGACCTGGCAAGAAGTTGATAACATATGTTCAGTCCAACACTCCGTAATGTTTTAGTTCAATTAAGTTGAACGGGGCAATTATACTTGTGTACCTGGTGACTGTCTGACTTGTAATTGATGCAAAATATAGAAGTGCCTACTTTATTGATGTTTATTGTGTGCCATTGTATAGCACTTATGCCAGGATGAATGTATGATTCAGTTGATCTTTTGTTTGAACTTAATACTTTCTTATTATTGCAAATCAGGCTTCGTGAACTCCTAATGTTGTGGTAGACTAGAATTGGCATTTATCAGAACTCTATGATTCGAAATTCGGTTTTCAGGAGATGTATGTTTAGTGAATTTTTCCACTTTACGCTGTTGAACTGATTCTATTCTGTTGATTTTCTACTTTCTTTTGTTCTGATGCCTGATTTACTTCTGCAGGAAACTATATCACAAGAGAGTGATGAAAAGCTTGATGGCTTAAAATTAGAAACAAATGGGACATTTGGGGAGATAATTTGAAGGAACAAGGCTGTATTTCTTGCATTCTCATGACAACTGGGGGATAGTTGAGGTGAAAACTCTCTCTCTCTCTCTCTCTCTCTCACACACACACACACACACACACACACACACACATGATTGATTTATAGCCTCACCAGTTCATTTTTTTTCTTCAGGTGTGTTATACGTACAGTTGAAATCAGCGATATAGATTAATGACGCTCTATAGCTGTGGACAGTAACTTGTTTTGAAGAGGTTCTAGCTGTTTAAGTTTTCAAGCAAACCTCTAGAAGTCTGTTTGCATTGACTTCCCTTTGTAGTGTGTCAATTAGAAACCTTGTTTTATGTGATGTGTTAATGGTAAGATGAGGTAGTTTGTTAGATGGAAGAACTCCATTTTTCTGGTCTTTGTTTTTATATTTGTGTATTGTGCGTGTCATGAGTGAATATATGTGCTTTCCATGTTTTCTTTAGCTTCACATTTCACAATGATATAGGAATATATGATTTTTCTATGCCTGCTTGGTTCCCGTTTCTTCTCTATAACTGATTGGATCAAATTTGTGCTTATATTCTGATTTCCTTAATTGAATACAAGGCAATGACAGGCTTACACAACGTTACTTACTGTCGCCAATATATATATCGTGTTCATAGTAACGTAGAGGAGCCTAAGTATTTGTTTGAGCCCCGTTCTTCTAAAAATTTATTTTTTCAAAGCTCTTTTTCAACCATATTCTTTAATAAAATAATATTATACGTAAATTCAAAACTTTTCCTTAATTTTTAATTACATTATCCATCAATCTACCATTTAAAATGCATTCTCTCTCATAATGGGGCTCGAACAAGGGCTAAATCCTCTTTCTTTCCATAATATGAATAGCAAAGTTTGTTATGGATGCTTTGATGTAGTCTCAAGAACTTGCCCCGAAAAACATAGCTCTTAAAAAGTCGAAATAAGTGACACAAAATGAGAAGTAAAAGGTAATAAAAATGCTATTATTAAAGCTATTTTAAAAAGCTATAATTGGTCTGGTAGTTTGAAAGATGCATTGCGAAGTTTACCATGTATACTTAAAGCCAATACTAAGAACTTATTTGAATGAGTAACGAATATAGAAAATAAGCTGAAAGATGTGACACTATACTATTTTCAATTTTGGAATCTACCGTATACATTTTCTACTGTAATTATTTAAATGATGAAGTATTTTTCAAAAATTGGTTTAGTAGAAGTGTGAAATGATATCTTAAATTTCAATTATTGTTAAAGGAATCATAAGATGGAAGAAAGTTTGTAACGATATTTTAAACATTATCGCTTTATTTATGCTAACATGTGGAAGAAAAATTATCAATTAAAGTTTGTTATATTCAAAATATGGAGTAATGAGGGTATGTATAATTTTTAAAAATAGAGGGAGTGTTTATGTAATTATCATAAATATCAGAAGAGGTACTAAGAATTTCAAATAATGGAGATTTGTGCAATTTTTTGAAAAGAGAAGATTATATAGTTATAGCCTTATAGCCATAGGTTCCCCGCTTGCCTTAAAACCCTGTTTGACAACTATTTTTAATTTTTTTTTCATATTTATTTTCAATTATACATTCTTGCAATAAACTTTTTTTATGCAAATTCCAAATTTTTCTAGTTTTTAATCACTTTCTCCAAAAATTCACAATTCAAAAATTCAATCTGCATAAAAAAAATTTAGTTCTTGTTTGATCTCATTATTTTCAAAAAATATTTTTTCTTTCTTATTTTTAATTACACATTTTTTAATAAAATAATTTCATACGTAAATTTAAAAAAATTCTTTATTTTTTAACCACGTTATATTCGTCAAAATACATTTTTACCAAAAATAAAAATAAAAATGGGAATAATCAAAGAGTAGTATACCCTAATATTAATTTTCAGTTCATAGTTTTGAGAGAACTGGTCAAAAATCGAAACTAGTGATTACAGAGAGATGGAGAGCGGCGCCATTTTTGCAGGGCTACACCAGAACCTAATTCCCAACCACCACCGCCACCAGCTCGGCCCTTCAGGCAGCACTACTAAGCTTCTCCCATCGGTTTTCAGTGGCAAAAGACACTTCTCTAATAACCCTTTTAAGGTATCGTGAAATCACTTCTGCGGCAGTTTATGTCCTTTTTCGTTCTTTAAGTCGTTCACCAATCGTCAATCACATGCATTTCGTGTTAATTTAGTTTATATATTTGAGAAGTGGAACTTATATTATTATATGATCGTAATGCAAATGTATGCAGCTCTCGAATCAATCGCTCTTCGCTTGTTTTAGTAACAATAACAGTAAAAATGCTAATACTCTTCAAGTGACCTCTCCTGCGAGGTACGCTCGTTAGGAAACATTATAATTTAGAGCCAAAATCTGGTTTAATTTGTGAGCTCGATTTCTTGTTGGTGAAGAACTGGGTTTATGTAATGTTTAATTTTGGCAGCGACGTGAAGCCAGAATTAGCCGACATTGACTGGGATAATCTTGGATTCGGGTTCATGCCCACTGATTATATGTATATTATGAAATGTTCTCAAGGTGAAAACTTTTCTAAAGGAGAATTACAACGTTTTGGGAACATTGAGTTGAGCCCATCTGCAGGGATTTTAAACTATGGACAGGTAAGTTTTTTCTTTTACTAATTATAACCGCGGTGGTTCTTTCAATGCGTTTATAACTTTTGCATCATGATTGCTTCACTTTGCTGAATTTATTTTTGAAAATAACTTGTAGGGGCTGTTTGAAGGTTTAAAAGCTTATCGGAAATATGATGGCAATATTTTACTCTTTCGCCCCGAGGAAAATGCTTTCCGATTAAGGATGGGCGCTGAGCGTATGTGCATGCCTTCTCCTACTGTCGAACAGTTTGTGGAAGCTGTAAAAGAAACTGTTTTAGCAAATGAAAGATGGGTAATCTGACAGTTTGTCATTTCAGTTAAGATTGTATTTATTTATTAATTTTTGTGTAGTGATGTTTGGACAACTGAGTGGTTTTATATTATCTTATTTCAGATTCCCCCACCAGGTAAAGGTTCTTTATATATAAGACCATTGCTAATGGGGAGTGGAGCTGTTTTAGGACTTGCTCCAGCACCTGAATACACCTTTTTGATTTATGTATCTCCTGTGGGAAACTATTTCAAGGTATAGTAGTTGTATCTCGCATGCCTGTGCAGCCATGATGCTGTTTCCACTTGAATTGCTGGCAAGATAGGGCTCAAAAATCTATATTGATAAATTCCAATTAACTTGGCTTCAACTACTTTTCCTAACTTTCCACGTATAGTCTACTCAAATATTCATGAATTAGCAAAATGTTAGTTCGTGAGGCAATAATATTAAATTTCGAGGATGTTTGATCATCGAATGGTAAATTACATAATTCATAAGCAAGCAAAAAGAAGATCTTGCAATCCTATTCCTAAATATACAGAAAAGATAGCCAAAAGAAGCTAACAGTACTTAACTAAGAAGCAAATGAAAAATGACAAAAGGACCCAAAGAAGACTCAAATGGAGGCATAGGATTTATGTTACTGTTCACAAACATTTGATGCTTTCCTTTAGTTAAAATTACTTAGTTATTGCTTGTTTTGGTTTTGCTTTTAGTGAAATTATAGTTTGTTTCGTATGGCACTCCAATCTTAATCAAAGTTTGTCTTAATACCTGCTGTATACCAAGTGGAACTTATTATGATTTAAATCAATCGTGTTGATATTGATTTTGGCCTCTTAAATGTAACTGATAATGTTTTCTAGGACCTCATGACATTTTTTGTGTTTTCAAATAATTTTATCTGGCAACTATTACTTCTTTGATTTATAGATTACCCCTTTTACAATTTCTATACAAGTATCTACTGCATACTCCTTGATGTCTCCCAGTTACTGTGTGTTTACTCTTTTACCAGGAAGGTTTGGCACCAATACATTTGATTGTTGAGACTGAAATGCATCGAGCAACACCTGGTGGTACTGGAGGAGTTAAGACTATAGGAAATTATGCTGCAGTAAGCTATTCTCTGTTGATTCTTCCTCTCCTTTGAGTTAGCTTGTGTAGAGTTTGATGAGGACATCGGACGATGTTTACTTATTTTATTTAAACTTTATTTATTTTCTTGGACTATTATTTAAATTTGGACTTGTATGGGCTCGGGCTCAAGCTCGTTAGGGTTGCTTTACTATTTAAATCTATTTTGCATTGTAATTTTCAGTTGATGATGAATGAATATTTTTGGTGGCTTATAGTGTTTTCTCTCTTCTTGTTTTCTTTCTTCTCTTCTGTTGAATCCCCTTCCCTTTCTCCTCTTTAATTCGCCCTCCCCATAGCTCTATTTTATTTCTCAATTAACTGTCTCATTGGTGCTGTATCAAATTTGGTATCAGAGCCGAACCATGGGTAATTTCTTTTCTTTAATCCAAAATTTATGCATATTTCCTTCTCAAAATCTATTGGAACAGCACGAACTAAAAGAATTTTTGGTAAAGGCAGCAATTTTTTTCTTCTTCTTCAATTTTCAGTCTTAGTTGAAAAAAAAAAGGTACTGTTCATCGCGGGTACTGTTCACATAGAATTTCAGTTTAGTATTTTGGTCAGTTTCTTGAAAAAAAAAAATTACTGTTCACGGGTACTGTTCACGCCCAAAAAAAATTTTTTTTTTCTTTTTTTTGTTGCTGTTCATAAAAAAATAAAAAATTGTGGTATTGTTCCACAAATCTCAAACCCTAGCATTCAAGTCCATTTAGCCCAACTAACCCAACCTACTCTTTACGACCCAGGCACACTCTCCAAACACTAACCCCAGCTAGCCCATCTCTATAACAGGATCCAAACCCCTTCCCATCTGGTCCAGTCCCAAATATTCGACCAAACCCGATTATAACCAATCCATTAACATCAAATACCCCACAGTTTCACTCGATTCCTCTCTCACAACCACTCTCTTGCTGCCATCGCCTTTAATCACCATCACGCTACCACTTCATTATCTATTGTACCTAGGCATCTAAAGCACTACCGCTTCATCGCCATAGGCCACCACCACCAACCCAAGATCATACACTTCCACCACAGTTACCACACTTGTATATTTCCTCGTCCATCTCAACAATCTAAAAGCCACAGTCACCACATTCAATTTTACATCCACACCAGAGCCAGCACAAGTTACAGTCAACAGACGTTAAAACCATTGGACACGAAGAGAAGAACAGAAGCATAGTTGGGGCTTATAAGTCGGCAATTCAAATTAAGCGGCATACAAATAATCAAAACTAAACAACAGGGAGTCCTTGATCTCTATTTAGTATTGGTTTATACTACTGCTTCATTTTTAAAATTGCATCAATTAAAATCTTGTGTTGCTGTTATTGTGATAATTTTAGCCTTAAACCTCACTTGATCAAAACCATCAATCGAATTGACATCAGTGACCGAATTGACTTCTATTGTTCCCCACTTAAATTGATTGGAGAATTTGACTAGTGTTGACCCTTGCTTTGCCATTTTACATATACTAGCAGTATTAGCTTATTTTGGATTTAATTAATCCTAATATTTAAAATTAAATTAAAAAAAATGGTACAAGTTATTTTCCATTGCTTGCACGTATTGTTCACTGATCTCATCATAGCACGTCATTTAGTTGGTATTACATTGCATGTAGTTGCATAGTGGTCGTCTTATCATCTCTATTTCCAATACATTGACCATGGATCCATCCCAATTTGATGCACTCACTAGACAATTAGCGCAACTTGCCACTAGCCTATCGACTGTCCAATCAGATATAATTGCTACTCGTGAGGAGAGAAAGAACCTAGCTGCTAATTTGAGCAATTTTAAGCGAACCCCTCGTTTAACTGACACTAATTCTAAAGCGTCTCATAATAGACAATATCATCGTGGACAAAGCGATCAAAAATATTTTCGACGCGATCGTAGGAATATGGATCAGATTCGTAAGCGAGAACGAGATAATTTTGAAATTCTTACTCAATGGAATGCCCTTAAACAAGGAAATCAATTAGTGACTGAGTATATCGCGCAATTTGAGGAATTTCGAACCAAATGTCATTTAATTGAGGATGAAAGCATGACTTTCAGTAGGTTTAGCCAAGGTATGAGAGATGATCTTAAGCGCGAGCTTTTCCTTCAAGGTGTCACTACTCTTGATCACGCTTACTCTTTAGCTTGAGATTATGAATTGATTATTAGTACTCCATATGAAAAGCGTGGTCATCGTCGTTCACCCATCTTATTAGCGTCACCTCATCATAAGTCTATCATAAAACCTTCTCCGTCTAATGTTCCTCCTATTTGGAAAACTAATTGTAAAGGTCGTGATAGTCCAAGATCTTCTTCTTCATGTAGAAAGCGTAATGGCAATCATCTTTCGATTTCATTGGCTCCACTTCCTCCTGTTAAGTCTCTTCTAGGACCTCCCCCGTCTAATGTTCCTCCAATTTTGGAAAATAAGGGTATAATTTGTGAAACTCCAAAGACTTCTCACTTGCTATGCATCATCTGTAAGGATTTTGGTCACATCTCTTCCAAATGTCCTAACCGAGCCTTAGTCATAGAAGAACGAAAGAATGCAATAGAAGAGTCGTTAGAAGATCTAGCATATGGCCCTAAACTTGAAGATTTTGATGATTATAGTGAGGACACTTCCTTAAGTGGAATCCCGACCCTTCCCGAGACTTTAGAAACTACACCCCTTGTTTCCGACAACTCTCGATCACATGTTATATGTCATACCCTTTCCCAACTCAAAGAGTTTGATGATTTCACTAGTCACCCTTGGAGAATCCAGTCGCTTGTTCTTAGTACTAAATCGAAATTCTCCACTACTGACCAACCTCAAACTGATGGTCAAAACGAAATTGCTAATCGAAGTCTTGGCAATTTATTACAGTCTCTAGTCCAGAAAAATGTTGAGAATTGGGACTCGATCCCTCCAACTGTTCACATCGCATATAACAATTTTATGAATCGGTCTCTAGGTCTAAATCCATTTGAAGTTGTTCATAGTTATAAGTCTAGGCGATCGTTAGATCTTATTCCCATGTCCCCGCATGCTAGTGTGTTGTTGTCAGCTGAAGTATTTGTATATTATCTTCATGATTTGCATATTGAGATCAATAAACAACATGAACTTCAAGCTGATTCGGATAAACGATATTTTGAATTTAATATTGGGGATTATGTCATATTGCAAGCTTGTAGTGCTGGTCCTTTAAAAATTTTAAAGCATGTTGGTTCAAATGCACATGTCATTGCCCTTTCATCACATTTTAGCCACTACTCTGCTTTAAATATTGAGGACTTCATTACTTACAAATACCGTATTACTTCCTTTGATGATCCATTTCTACCTAACTTTGTGGATCCCCAATTTGACTATATTGATATTTCTACTTTAATACCATCTATCACAGCACACAAAGATAAAATTGATGTTATTTTAGATGAACGTGTTGTATTGACCAATGATGGCACAATTTAGTACTTCCTTGTTTGTTGGGTAGATCGACGTACTTCTTATGCTCCTCATTATGTACAATCATGTGAAAATGTTGAAGATGAGGTGCATGAGTATTGGTTATTTGAAGTCCAGTATCAGTACTTGGTTAGAAGGAAAGTTCGGCCCCCTTGGTCAGATCATATTCTTGGAAATAAGCTACAGTTTTCAGTACTATCAATTATGGAATTTCGTTACTTGGTTCGTCAGAAAAATCATCCCCCGTGACTTGACTTGAAGCATTTGGAGTATGAGATTGACTGCAGCCTATACTATCTATCAACTCGACAGGGTTGAGTTTTTCTTCCACCCCGGGAGAGTTGATGAGGACATCGGACAACGTTTACTTATTTTATTTAAGTTTTATTTATTTTCTTGGATTATTATTTAAATTTGGACTTGTATGGGCTCGGGCCCAAGCTTGTTAGGGTTGCTTTACTATTTAAACCTATTTTGCATTGTAATTTTCAGTTAATGATGAATGAATATTTTTGGTGGCTTATGGTGTTTTCTCTCTTCTTGTTTTCTTTCTTCTCTTCTGTTGAATCCCCTTTCCTTTCTCCTCTCTAATTCTCCCTCCCCATAGCTCTGTTTTATTTCTCAATTAACTGTCTCATTGGTGCTGCATCAGAGTTCTTCCTCTACACTTACTTGCGTGCTGAACTTTACTTTTGCTAAAGTCTGCATGTTAACTTACTGATTCTGCTTTCTCTTCCATCTGGAGCCTGGTAGATATCCACGATATTCTATGCTTCTCCCCTCTTGGTTATTTTCTCGATTTTCCTTTTTACCAAAGTGCATAATATTCTGTAAATATTCACATTGCTTTTGAACTGCGTTAAACCCTTGCTTAACCAGGATGCAAAGGGTGCTTAGCTACTTATTATTGCAATGCATTCATATCAGCTAACAATTTTTGAACTCGACTTGTGAACTGCTACCCTCTATATCCAGGAAAGGGAACTGTGTAAACTAATCTAAGGAGGTTTTCTTTAATAGTCTAGCCTTCAAATATGGATTCGTGATATTCTGATGCATCCTTTTTATTTTCTACACTGTATTTTATAGGTTCTAAAGGCTCAGAGTGCTGCAAAAGCAAAAGGGTTTTCTGATGTTCTGTATCTGGATAGTGCTCAGAAAAGATATCTAGAAGAGGTGTCCTCTTGCAATGTATTTGTTGTGAAGGTAAACTATTTGTTGAATTAGCTCAAAAATGCATCACATATATGATAATGGGATAATATGTTATTATTCTCGATACTGAGGTTAAAAAAGATTGTCTTATATGTGTTTCTTGTGTTTTTGTAAATGGATTGCATGATGAAGGTCATTGTTTAAAACAATTTTACATTTTATTCTTTAGTTTTACTTCATTTCATTTACTGCCTTTGGTTTTAGGAACTATATTGGTTACTTTAAAATTATAACTGTTGAAAAAAATTGCTCATTTGGTTGACAACATATACTTTTACATAAGGTGATGATTTGACACGTAATAAGATTTTGACATCTAGGAGAGGTTGAACAAGTCACATTCTTTCTCATCAAAGGCCCAAAGTCCTACTCCAACTGTAACCATGGGGTGTAACTGTAGCTTAACCTGTAACGTGAATTAATAATTCCACATTTACTGAACTCATCACTGAATTGCTTTAATTATAAATTCTTCCATAAATATCTATACATGTTTTTACTTCACTGAAGGGATTTGAAACTTCTTTCTTTTTATTTTCCAGGATTATATGTTTTAAAACCTATCACGCAAGTATCATTATCTACTTCTTTATCATTGACATTATTGGATTATCATGATAAATGTTCTCTAGTAAATAGTAATGTCTATGCCTTGGAGTGCCTTCACCATCATCATCCCATTGCTTCCAGGTTCATTGGGTTTTACTGGAACATTAATGCAAATTGATGTAAAAATATTGTAGGACTATTAGGTAGTATTGGGCAAGGTTATATGTACTAATGAACTTCTGAGTGCCAAGTATATCCACCAAAAAAGTTCGTGCCTTGCCACCTACCACTAGAACATGTTTAAAAGCACATGACCGTTGGGGATTGAATTCAAACAAATGGATATCCTCTTTGAACAATTGATTTGGGGTAATTGAATTGTTGCATTTGTGGGCCTTTTAGTGTAAGATCTAATAGGGATTTGAATTGGAAGAGTAGAAGCCAAGTGCTACACATGTGGATACACCTAGGAATCTGGATAAGCCAGTATCAGTATTTCACATTGCCTTGTGTTCTTAACTCTGTGGGTTTCAAGGGCTGAGCTCCAGGATTTTGTTGGGAGAGCTCTTGTTGTTATATATTGGGGCTCAGGTGAAATGGTAAGCCTCTTCTTAGAGTACTCGGTTGTGGTGAACTTGGTTCATATAAAATCATGCACTTGGTTTGGAGACGTGTTTGAGCAATGCGGAGACTTTTGATAGAATTAGCCTCTCAATTCCATTTAATGTCCATATCTGGGAAGGTTTCATAGTTACACAGTTGTGTTAGTCAACTACTAGGCTCGTTATGAATTTCTCATCTATGTGAGACGAAAGATTCCATCTTCCATCCAAATAGTAAGCCCTTGTTTGTGCTCCGTTAAAATCAAATTTTGAGGAAAAATGTATTTTGAAATAGTAACTTTTTGAAAACTGTGTGGTTAAAAAAGAAGGAAAAGTTTTGGAGTTACGTGTAACATTATTTTATTGGAGAATGTGTGGTTGAAAAGAAGAGAGAAAAATGTATTTTGAATAAAATGGAGCCCAAACAAAGGCTAAATATTGTACATATTTTTTGTCCTGTCCAACTCATATCCTGTATGAAAATGTATGTTGTGTAAGTAGTGCTTGTTTTCTGTGAAAGGTCACAAAGGAAGAAATGTATAAGCTAATCTCAAATCAATTCAATTTATTTTCAGGGTAATGTGATATCTACTCCCGCGATAAAAGGGACCATCCTACCAGGCATTACACGAAAGAGTATAATTGATGTTGCTATTAGTCAAGGATATCAGGTATTTACTAAGCTTCTAAAACATCAACCGTGCATCACAGGATATAAGCTTCCACTGGAAATTAAACAATGGTCAGCCGTCCAGGAAAATGTTATGGTTCCCTCATTTTATTTGCCCCTTTACGACCATGCTAATTTCTTGGATCCACTTATAGTTTCGGAGAGGGACATATAATATAATGATCTCTCATACTGTACTTCTCTCAACTTCCAAGCAGATTTGGCACTATATGTATGGAGATACTTACAACAGAGCATCTGTATGTGATACATGACAATACCTTCTGCATATCCTTTCAGTATACCATATCAGATCCATATGGATAAATAATCAGATTGCCACCCTTCCTTTTAGATGAATAGAGAAAAAAAATGCAATAATGCCCTAATGAAATTTTGGCACCTGTCCTTTATTTGTCACTGGGACTGAGGTAAAGGGGCTCAGTTTGCTAAGTGCATGATAAGGTTTTTCTCTTGATATGTAGGTTGAGGAGCGGTTAGTTACAGTTGAGGAATTGCTTGATGCTGATGAAGTTTTTTGTACGGGAACAGCTGTGGTTATATCCCCTGTAGGCAGTATAACTTATCTGGGTAAAAGGTAATTTCCATCTACAAGGTCTAGTTGCACAATGCTTGTGATATTAACTAACTGTAAGGATGAACATGGAAATAACTAAAACGTAATCCAGATTCTATTTACAATTCCCAAGGAACTGTATACTTTCCCCTCGTTTTCACTTTTGTATATATTTCTTCTTTTTTTTTTTATCTAAGAATTAAGAATTCCTTGTTTCTTTTTATTTCTTCCCGGGTGCGTGTTGATGAGGTATAGTATAGGTCAGAGAGAAATCTGATATTGCACAATGTGAATAAGTATTCACAAAAATTTTTATTTGTGAACTGGTCTATCATTTTTAAAATTTACGTAATTCAAGCATCAAGTCGTGATCATCCTTCGAAGCATCATTTTTTATGCATGTCCTGATGGGTGGTACATCATTACTCACTAATAATATGCTTGGAAAGATGGTGAATTTGATAGTAATGGACATTATTAAAGAAGAAAAAGAAGTTGGCATATTATGTCTACTATATTATTCAATTCCAATCTAATACTACGCACCGTATGTGCCTTGAGAGTAGTCTTGAATAGCATAAACTTGATATGTAGAATTTGAAAATCACAAAATCCATAAACCTCAAATTTGGAATCTTGGTATAATCATACTGGAGAAAATTATTGTTACAGTAAAACTTTCCACCGAGAGCTGACTCTGGATTTTTGCATGTTTTAAACCATTTCTGGTGGTTTCATTACCCAATTTATAATAAGCTTTTCAGTTTGAGAAGGCTACGGTTGTGTGGAAGTCTTTCCTCTATAAGCCACACAATCATTTGAATAAAAAATGGTGCTGTGTTATGTGCTTGGATGAGAGGGCCTAAGGTGCCCGTTGTAGCCAGAATTAGCCGACATTGACTGGGATAATCTTGGATTCGGGTTCATGCCCACTGATTATATGTATATTATGAAATGTTCTCAAGGTGAAAACTTTTCTAAAGGAGAATTACAACGTTTTGGGAACATTGAGTTGAGCCCATCTGCAGGGATTTTAAACTATGGACAGGTAAGTTTTTTCTTTTACTAATTATAACCGCGGTGGTTCTTTCAATGCGTTTATAACTTTTGCATCATGATTGCTTCACTTTGCTGAATTTATTTTTGAAAATAACTTGTAGGGGCTGTTTGAAGGTTTAAAAGCTTATCGGAAATATGATGGCAATATTTTACTCTTTCGCCCCGAGGAAAATGCTTTCCGATTAAGGATGGGCGCTGAGCGTATGTGCATGCCTTCTCCTACTGTCGAACAGTTTGTGGAAGCTGTAAAAGAAACTGTTTTAGCAAATGAAAGATGGGTAATCTGACAGTTTGTCATTTCAGTTAAGATTGTATTTATTTATTAATTTTTGTGTAGTGATGTTTGGACAACTGAGTGGTTTTATATTATCTTATTTCAGATTCCCCCACCAGGTAAAGGTTCTTTATATATAAGACCATTGCTAATGGGGAGTGGAGCTGTTTTAGGACTTGCTCCAGCACCTGAATACACCTTTTTGATTTATGTATCTCCTGTGGGAAACTATTTCAAGGTATAATAGTTGTATCTCGCATGCCTGTGCAGCCATGATGCTGTTTCCACTTGAATTGCTGGCAAGATAGGGCTCAAAAATCTATATTGATAAATTCCAATTAACTTGGCTTCAACTACTTTTCCTAACTTTCCACGTATAGTCTACTCAAATATTCATGAATTAGCAAAATGTTAGTTCGTGAGGCAATAATATTAAATTTCGAGGATGTTTGATCATCGAATGGTAAATTACATAATTCATAAGCAAGCAAAAAGAAGATCTTGCAATCCTATTCCTAAATATACAGAAAAGATAGCCAAAAGAAGCTAACAGTACTTAACTAAGAAGCAAATGAAAAATGACAAAAGGACCCAAAGAAGACTCAAATGGAGGCATAGGATTTATGTTACTGTTCACAAACATTTGATGCTTTCCTTTAGTTAAAATTACTTAGTTATTGCTTGTTCTGGTTTTGCTTTTAGTGAAATTATAGTTTGTTTCGTATGGCACTCCAATCTTAATCAAAGTTTGTCTTAATACCTGCTGTATACCAAGTTGAACTTATTATGATTTAAATCAATCGTGTTGATATTGATTTTGGCCTCTTAAATGTAACTGATAATGTTTTCTAGGACCTCATGACATTTTTTGTGTTTTCAAATAATTTTATCTGGCAACTATTACTTCTTTGATTTATAGATTACCCCTTTTACAATTTCTATACAAGTATCTACTGCATACTCCTTGATGTCTCCCAGTTACTGTGTGTTTACTCTTTTACCAGGAAGGTTTGGCACCAATACATTTGATTGTTGAGACTGAAATGCATCGAGCAACACCTGGTGGTACTGGAGGAGTTAAGACTATAGGAAATTATGCTGCAGTAAGCTATTCTCAGTTGATTCTTCCTCTCCTTTGAGTTAGCTTGTGTAGAGTTTGATGAGGATATTGGACGATGTTTACTTATTTTATTTAAACTTTATTTATTTTCTTGGACTATTATTTAAATTTGGACTTGTATGGGCTCGGGCTCAAACTCGTTAGGGTTGCTTTACTATTTAAACTTATTTTGCATTGTAATTTTCAGTTGATGATGAATGAATATTTTTGGTGGCTTATGGTGTTTTCTCTCTTCTTGTTTTCTTTCTTCTCTTCTGTTGAATCCCCTTCCCTTTCTCCTCTCTAATTCGCCCTCCCCATAGCTCTATTTTATTTCTCAATTAACTGTCTCATTGGTGCTGTATCAAATTTGGTATCAGAGCCGAACCATTGGTAATTTCTTTTCTTTAATCCAAAATTTATGCATATTTCCTTCCCAAAATCTATTGGAACAGCACGAACTAAAAGAATTTTTGGTAAAGGCAGCAATTTTTTTCTTCTTCTTCAATTTTCAGTCTTAGTTGAAAAAAAAAAAGGTACTGTTCATCGCGGGTACTGTTCACACAGAATTTCAGTTTAGTATTTTGGTCAGTTTCTTGAAAAAAAAATTACTGTTCACGGGTACTGTTCACGCCCAAAAAGAAATTTTTTTTCTTTTTTTTGTTGCTGTTCATAAAAAAATAAAAAAAATAAAAAAAAATTGTGGTATTGTTCCACAAATCTCAAACCCTAGCATTCAAGTCCATTTAGCCCAACTAACCCAACCTACTCTTTACGACCCAGGCACACTCTCCAAACACTAACCCCAGCTGGCCCATCTCTATAACAGGATCCAAACCCCTTCCCATCTGGTCCAGTCCCAAATATCCGACCAAACCCGATTATAACCAATTCATTAACATCAAATACCCCACAGTTTCACCCGATTCCTCTCTCACAACCACTCTCTTGCTGCCATCGCCTTTAATCACCATCACGCTACCACTTTATTATCTATTGTACCTAGACATCTAAAGCACTACCGCTTCATCGCCATAGGCCACCACCACCAACCCAAGATCATACACTTCCACCACAGTTACCACACTTGTATATTTCCTCGTCCATCTCAACAATCTAAAAGCCACAGTCACCACATTCAGTTTTACATCCACACCAGAGCCAGCACAAGTTACAGTCAACAGACGTTAAAACCATTGGACACGAAGGGAAGAACAGAAGCATAGTTGGGGCTTATAAGTCGGTAATTCAAATCAAGCGGCATACAAATAATCAAAACTAAACAACAGGGAGTCCTTGATCTTTATTTAGTATTGGTTTATACTACTGCTTCATTTTTAAAATTGCATCAATTAAAATCTTGTGCTGCTGTTATTGTGATAATTTTAGCCTTAAACCTCACTTGATCAAAACCATTAATCGAATTGACATCAGTGACCGAATTGATTTCTATTGTTCCCCACTTAAATTGATTGGAGAATTTGACTAGTGTTGACCCTTGCTTTGCCATTTTACATATACTAGCAGTATTAGCTTATTTTGGATTTAATTAATCCTAATATTTAAAATTAAATTAAAAAAAAATGGTACAAGTTATTTTCCATTGCTTGCACGTATTGTTCACTGATCTCATCATAGCACGTCATTTAGTTGGTATTACATTGCATGTAGTTGCTTAGTGGTCGTCTTGTCATCTCTATTTCCAATACATTGACCATGGATCCATCCCAATTTGATGCACTCACTAGACAATTAGCGCAACTTGCCACTAGCCTATCGATTGTCCAATCAGATATAATTGCTACTCGTGAGGAGAGAAAGAACCTAGCTGCTAATTTGAGCAATTTTAAGCGAACCCCTCGTTTAACTGACACTAATTCTGAAGCGTCTCATAATAGACAATATCATCGTGGACAAAGCGATCAAAAATATTTTCGACGCGATCGTAGGAATAGGGATCAGATTCGTAAGCGAGAACGAGATAATTTTGAAATTCTTACTCAATGGAATGCCCTTAAACAAGGAAATCAATTAGTGACTGAGTATAATTTGAGGAATTTCGAACCAAATGTCATTTAATTGAGGATGAAAGCATGACTTTGAGTAGGCTTAGCCAAGGTCTGAGAGATGATCTTAAGCGCGAGCTTTTCCTTCAAGGTGTCACTACTCTTGATCACGCTTACTCTTTAGCTCGAGATTATGAGTTGATTATTAGTACTCCATATGAAAAGCGTGGTCATCGTCGTTCACCCATCTCATTA